AGAGAATAATTAAAAATATATATTTCTCTGTTCTAAAAACCACCTATTTTGATGATTATTATTCTTTTTTGAGGTTCTACTTTCTAGTAATAAATACTTTTGCAAGTCTTGATTTTTTCCAATAGATACATTGTCCTAATAATTTTAAGGATTTTCAAACAACAACAGGGCTGACAGCCCTTCTGATCGAACCCCACCCATAGGAGGGGGGGGGGGTCGTAGCAAAATCCTATTTTTAAAGTGGGGAACACTCCTGAAGTTTGACGTGGATGTAAAATATATTGTCAAATTGCGTAATTTTTTTCTCTTTAATCTTGCTCAATATTTTATTTTGATTATTTATTTATTTGCCTATCTTTATTCACATGAAGAGACAAAAAATACTAAAATTTTGACATCGCAAACATGACATAAAGAGGTGGGGTCAAATCAAAGGAAAATGAAAAGCAAAAACAGGAAAAACAAACGACCATACAGATCAAACAGCTGCTCTTTCTTATTCTCAGTAGACATTTATACGAACGTCAAATTCTTTTCCTTCATAAAAATTTTCAAAATATAATATTTTATTTTTGAGGAAAATTTGAAGTTCTTAAATTATTTGTTTCTAAAATTTGTTATGTGTATAAATTGGACATATAGTAAGCTTATTTATCAATATAACATGATCATTTTATTTTTATGCATTTGATTTCTAATAAAATTAATATCATTCTCATTTTTGTTATGTATCAACAAAAAAATTTGGATTAAAAGTATTCAATTCATCTTAACTAAAAAAAAATTCTCCATGCATAACAAAATCATAGTATAATTATTGATAGTACAAAATCTAGTAAATTGATGGAAGATTATTCTTTTCCAAAATAAGTTTTACATAACAATGGATGATTTACTATATAAGGTATAATTTCTCAATACATAATTGACAAGAAGTTATTACTGGTGGCCAATTGTAAGGTTTTTTATTATATAAGGTCAAGTCCAAGGGATCAAATCCCTGCTCAGCAGGGTTGGCCCTGGTCCAAGGCTGACTAGGCAGCCGCCTAGGGCCTCTGATTTTCTAGCTCTGTCTCTTGTAATTAATTTTGCTTGTTTTGATAGTGAGGTGGTAGGACGAGTAATGGACTTCTCTGTGTGGCAGTGGGATTAGCAATTAGCACATATGTTCACAGAGGAGAGCAGAGAGGCTGTTAGTTGTGTAGTCGACTGGAAGAGGGAGGGCAATAGCCGAAATCCATTGTTGCAGCAACCAGCAGTAGAAGAATCGGACTATTAGAGGCTGAAGACATTGAAGACAGCCATTGTTGGGCCTGAAAAGGATTTTTTCTTTGGACTATTTCTTTAAATAGGCCCATGATTGTAATATTATTCATAGCCCATATAGGCTACCCATGTACCACTTAACAATTGAACAAACTGATTGCAAGCATCTGGTTGGCAAAATTGATTGCAAACGAAACCAATTCGCACGACACCGAGTGACTGAGTTGGAGTGGTGTTGATGACCTGCTTGCTGCCGGCTAACGTCGACCACCTCCGCCCTCCGCTAGCTTGCCCTTGTAACTTGCAAGGTTCGTGTGCTTGTATATATAATAATATTTTTAATGCGATTTGCTGTGTAAATTTGTTTAAATTTCAATCTGGGTTTTTACTAATGTTATGATTTATGACAACCTCATTAATTTGGTCTTGTTTTTGTGTTGTATGGTGTGGATGTATATCGGAGCATCTACGTGTTTTTAGGGTTATTATTTATTAATTCTACCTCTAGATTTGTGTGTGTATAGGTTGTAAAACTTGTAATTGTGCAAATTTGGTAAATTTTGATTTCTGTGTATTTCCCACGTGTGTATATTTCTTCTTCTTCTTCTTCAACCTTCTTTTTCTTTCTTTCTTTCTTTTTTTTTTTCCTTTTTTTTTTTTTTTTTTGAATTTTAATTGGTTTTTCTTTTGGGAATTTTTTGAAAGTGGTTACTTGAAAATTTAAATGGAGAATTTCTGAAATGTGATAAGTTGAAAATTGAAAATTTAAACTTGATCATAGTCCTAACCTAGTTCATAAATGGTTTAATTTATGTTTAACATGTTATTTACGTTTAATTTTCATAAACATCCTACATACTTTGACATCTCCTTACAGAGTTGTGAAGGTGAGTGATAAAAAGACCAGTGGTATACAATCCAACGATAAAAAATTGAATTAAAAATCTACAAAGTTAAAATTTTAGCAACCTAATTGTTGTGAGTAAATTTTCATGGAGAAGTTTCTAAAATTCCATGTGTACTTTACTTTTTCAGCAAACTAATATGTATCCATTTATAAATAGTGGTCCTTTTGTAGAAAAAATTATTTTTTAACACCCTCCATATCCATTTTTAAAGTAGTACTACGTTTGTAAAATATTATGCTTAAGGCCTAAGGGCCTCATAATAATTGTTTGCCTGAGGCCTCATAATTCTCAGGGCCGGCCCTGCTGCTCAGCTCCTCAAGATTTGAAAACTATAATTTTGAAGCCCGATCAAAATCGATTAATCAGATTACTAAAAACTATCGATCCAATCAATTTTGATCGGTTCTTGACCAAGTTAGTTGCACTCCAGTTACTTTAGCCAACCCAACCCAGTTAAGGGTGTGGGTCGCTAGTTTTTCTATATGATCGTCCAATCGGACCGAGTTTAATAACCATGGTAGCTATATTGTAATTACATAAATTTAGTTTGTACAAGTCACATGTATCCTTTATAAATAGAGGAAGTTATGTCACATGCCTATTTTTAAAAAATATTTAAAATATACTATGCAATTTTTTTTTAACCATAAATACTGTTTTTATATAGTAAAATAGAAACGTGAAAAATTAACCAAATCATATATGTCATTTATTACTTAGCTAATTTTATTCCAACAGACGCGCATTTAAATTACATTCCAATAAGCATGCCCTCAACATGTCAAATTAATCACAAAATTTTTAAAGTTGAATCCTTTCATATTCTGAACCGAAATCTTCACTAGATCATCTCTCCCTTGAATCACCCACCAAGAATTTCCCTAAACCTAATCACCAATTCGTTCTTCTATAGATCTACTGCCAAAAAAATACAAACCATGAGAGGGTCAACGATTTTTTTAATCATTGTGGGTCCCCCTCATGTAAAAGGGGTGTACACTCTAGTGTGTGCGTGTGCGCGTATATATATACACGAACTTAATCTCCTAAACATTGGTACTTAGTTTATACTAAACACTATGCTTATGTGGCACACTACAATAAATGGCGTAATTAGTTTTAAAACTAATCATTATTCTCGGAAAATTCAATTTGTTTCATAATAATGTATTTGTCGATGTATGCAATCCGAAATCCA